TCTCAAGATTCTTGTGCTTCAGTATATTCTATCTGGGTTTTTAACAGATCTTGCTCTTGTGTTTAGTGAGTTTTGTATGGGTTTTGTGTTTGTTTGCTTGGTGTTTGTTATTAAATCGAAAACTCAAGAGAGAAGGATGGTTGGTGTTTTTGGCTTGATTTGATGTTGTTGATTTATATTATGTTTTAATTTTGCTATGGTTTGTGGTCTGGATTTTTTTTTCTTTTTCTTTTTCTTTTTTTCAATTGCTTGTCTTTCTTTCTGCTTCCTTGGAATCCCAGGGCCTGGTTCGAAGGAACCCAGACCCTAGGTTCCTTCAAACATAGTCACTGGGTTCCTTTGAACGCAGTGGCAGAAAATTAAAAAATTTCTTTTTTTTTTGTTTTGTTTGTGAGTTTTGTTATTTGATGATGATGATGATGAAGCCACAAGGGTAGAGATTAGTTGAGATGTTTGGATTCGCAGGAGTTGAAGAAAGAGAAAGGAAAATAGGAAAGTGAGGAACAAAAAAAATAAAAATTTGTTGGAAAGAATCCAAGGTGGATTTGCTTACATGTTAAAAAATATCCAAGTTGGTGCTGACATGTAAATTTATAATGGAAACAACGATGCACGTGTAGCACGTGATCATTTGACGTTAAATTTTACCTCATTTTCTCAAATTAGAAATCCTAAAGGGTAAAAACCCATGTATTATAATATGGAGGGTAAAAACCCTCAAATTCGAAATCTTTAAGGGCAAACGGGTACCTTTTGCCAACTAATTTTAAGAATACCATAACGGGTACGTTCGGGTCAAGTTTGGATAAAACAACCCGAAATTCTGCTCCACTCCGGCGACCTTTCGGTTCTCGTTGAACAGAGCAAAGATGTAAGTCTCCAGATTCAAATCCGGCCTCCGCGGCGTCCCTCCCTGGTACTTAATTCGGTGATTCAAATTTTTGTTGTAAGTTTGTGCATTCTTCTTCGTCGTGTGCGGCTCGTTCCCGGCACTCGGCCACCCGGTCTCCGACACAACGATTTTGATGTCCTCTGTCCCGATGGCCTTCTCCATTGCTGCCGCAAACGCATCCACCATCGCATCAAACAGGTTGTAGTACTTCAAATTGCCGTCTATGACGACGGGCTTTTTAGATCTGAACAAGGCGTAGTCCAACGAGATGTGCCCCGGATCCGAGGCATAAGCAAAGTACGGGTAAACATTGATCGGGAGCGGCGCGTTGTTGCTGTGTAGAAATTTTACGATGTTGGTCATGATTCCTGCCACATCGTCTCGAAATGCGCCGGCGGAGGGCGGATACGAGGAGCCCAGCACGGCTGAGTGTACGGCGGTGGAGACCTGGATGTAGTTGGAGAGTTTCGTCTCTACTACCGCTTGCTGGAGGTTTTTCATGGCGGGGAGGACGTTAGCGGCGGAAGGCCCAGGGATGAGTTCATTGCCGATGGTGAGGTAGCGGAACCTGGTGACGACCAATTTGGTCTTGCCCGATGCGGCTAAGATTTCAGGGTCCGGATCAAATGATCAATGGGATTGCATATTTCAAGTCCTTAACAAGGAATTTGATGACCCTTTTTGGAGAAGGTAGATTGTTCCCTAGTCTTCCATAATTGATCCCAACATCAGCTCCTGCAAGAATCGGTTCACCAGTCATTTATGCAAGATCAATGGAAGAAATGCTGGCCTAGTGCAGCTTGCATTTGCAAATTCGAGTGCACATAGCACTCCTCATATCAATAGATGTTTGCGCATAAAAACAAAAGTCAATTGATTGAGCTATGTCACTCCTCTAATGTTCTTAGGTAGATTCTTTGTAATGGTGTTTCCTTTTATGATCAATGCAAGTTCAATTATGCTAAAACGAATTTTTGCATTTCAATGCAGTTCCATTGTCTCGTGACTAAGATATGTGTCTAACATCAGCACCACTTCCAATCATGCCTACCAACCACTGATGATTATCAAAAGTACCAATATTAAAGACCTTATATTTCAAGAAAATCAAGCAACAT